AGCCAGCCAGTTAGCTAGCCAGTCGGTCAGCCAGGCAGCCAGCCAGTCAGTTATCAAGCCAGCCGGTTAGTCAGTCTGTCAGCCAGTCAGGCAGCCGCTCAGTTAGCCAGTCAGTTAGCCAGCCAGTCAGCTAGCCAGTCAGTCAGCCAGTCGGTCAGCCAGGCAGCCAGTCAGCTACCAAGCCAGCCAGCCAGCCAGCCAGTCAGTTAGAGCCACATAGTCAGTCAGAGCAGCCAGTCAGTCAACCAGTCAGTCAGTCAGCCAGCCAGTCAATCAGTGTCAATAAGTCTGTCAGAAAGTATGTCAGTTAGTCTGTCAATAGGTGTGTCAGTCGGTCAGCCAGTCAGTCAATCAGGGATCCCCCAGTCAATCAACTGTTCTGTCAGGTCGTCAGTCAGTCTGCTAAAGAACACCTTCCATACTGTACATACATACAAGCGCTTTAGAAAAGCTAAAGAAAATTTTTCCTACCGACATACTAAAACTCAGTTTTTAAAATGTATCAGTAAATTAGCTAAGGCCTAAATTGCAGAGTCGTAACAAAATTAATGGTTCGAGCAGCTAAAGCTACCTTGGCTTGAGGAGAAACCACTTAGGAAGCATGAATAAATTACGCCATGGAAATGCAGCCTTCGTACATAAAATTATCAAATTCACTACCTCCTTCAACGTAGAAAACAAATAAGCAGACATAATTCCACATCTGATGGACTACCACCAACTTGTGTTTCCAAGAGGTTGTTTATAATAAAATATAAATGCTTTTGGCGCTAATTTCAAATTACCTTTCCAGTAGATGTTTCCAATAGGCGTTTAACTTGCTTTTATTAGTCCGTTCCTACGTCCCACCAAAGCATTTCATCTGTCCGAGCTGAAGGCCATGTACAATGAAGGCACCAAAGATGAGTGTGGGTGAGTATGGAAATGTTGACAGAGGTTGCTTTCTTTGTCACAACATAACGTTTAAATTTAGCTTCGGTCGCCATTTTATTCCTCGTGTGAAGATACACGTGATAGTCGAATAATTAAATTTGAATGAGGGACACTGATCTGCGAGTTATGAATATTAAATGTTTTGCCTCAACCACGGACCGCAATCCTTTAGTGCCTTTGGAAACTCTAATTGAGTCAAAACCAAGTACGGTAAAGAGGAATGACGAGGAAAATTGACTGAGACGAAAGTAGGCTTGACAAATGGTCAAATATCAAACCGATGGATTAAATGTTTACGAGGGAAAAAAATGGGTACAGTAGATTAGAGGTAAAATTACTTTGAGAAAAATTACAAGTTCCCAACGGTAGGATTTGTTTCCCGGTTAGATTCGTTTCCGCGGTGGTAAGCTTTTTACCTAATGATTGGTTCCATGCTACGTCAAACACCAGCCGCCCCCCCGCAGATATCACGTTTCACAATGCAGCAATTACACAACATTTAAGATCCCTTGTCTTACAACGAGCAGCAGCGCAAGTAGGGATCTCTCTTTTATGCACAGTTAGTATTTCAAAATGAGGAACAGAGTAACAGGTACGATGCGCTGGGTCAAATATTTTATGTTCTTTTTCAACGTCTTGTTCTGGATAAGCGGTGTTGGCCTTGTGGTGTTAGGCTGTCTTGGGGAGCTTCTATATGGCGATTACAAAAACATTACACAAACTGGTTTCACCTCAGCCTCTTTTATCCTTATAGGAGTAGGATCTGTAATCGGTCTGCTCGGCTTTGCTGGTTGTTATGGTGCAATCAGAGAAAATTACTTCATGCTTAAGTGTTTCTCATACTTGTTGGTCTTGCTGCTGATCGCAGAAATCGCGCTGGGCCTGTGGTTGTACTTTGCACATTTCAATCTACACAAATTTCTTCAGGATTTTCTCAGCAACATCCTCAGCAAGTACGAAGATGACAAGGATATACGAGAACTAATCAACCGAATCCAGCGAGAACACGAGTGCTGTGGGTCAAAAACCTACAAAGACTGGTACCATTCAGATTGGAACGCTCAACGCCAAAACAAGAGCGTGTACTATTGGGTGAATAATGTACCGCAGTCGTGTTGTTTATCAAACACAACACATTTAGAGAGTTGTGGAAACGATTTAGACACTGCCAGTAAACCAGCTGAGAAGTTTGTCCATACCGAAGGCTGTCTGCGATTAAAGGCGTTATTCTCGAAACACTTGACCTTTATGATTTCTCTTGGCGCAGGGGTCATGACAATACACGTCCTGGCAATTCTGTTTACGTGTTGCCTCAGGCGCGCAATCAAACATTCGAATCTGCTACACCAGGGCGATGGAATCCTACTCATTTCGACGTAATTGGTATCAGAATAGAAATACAATGAAAAGCGCAATTGTTCTTGTAAATGACTATGCGGGAGGATAGATATGACTCGATTGACACGTCACACAATTTCTACTAATGTCACGCAATCCTTCAAGATCCAGGACTTTCTAAATTCGTGAACTACAGGAGTTATCAAAATGACATAACAATGAGTAACATCAGGTAGATATTTATTAAAAATAATTCATCTCGGAGACTTTCATCATTGAAATGGGAAGGAGTGATAAATCAAGAGGGGCCATAAATACTTCAAGAAATGAGTATACAATATGTATTCTTTTAATTGTTAAATTCAGCTCTATAGTAATAGGCATTCAAGTGAAAACTGTGAATATTTTATAGGACTTGTTTTCACGATTAAATTCTTTGTAAAACTGACAAGAAATACGTCAAATTTTGGTTGGTAACGTAGTTGCATCAAGCTGTCATAAAAAAGCGTTCAGTAGTACAGCCCTTAAATTGCTTAAAATTCATGACCGGTCTCGCAAGAGAGCGAATAGTTTATGTTATCCTCGTATTACTGCAGATCTTGTAACAAGCTTTCCTTTTGATATGCTTTCGATATGGCTGAGAGATGTTTCAGTCTCTTTAGCCGAGTAATGCAATATTTTCCTTTCTTTAAGAGACTAGTAAGTACCTCCATGGCATCGACAATGCTTGGATGGCAAATTTTTAGTCTTCATCACTATCTGCTGCAAGTACTTCATCTTGTGACACACCCTGTAGAGGAAATGGAACATGACACATAAGTATCATCACTAGCAAAAAAAGATAGTCTTTCTCGAATACGTGAAAATTGAAGGTTTTACGCTTTCCTTAATGCGTCGACAGTAACCTTGCGATTTTCTGCGAATGACTGCCAGAGGGTAATTATCATTTCCCAACACGTCTTAAGAGGGGACACTGGCAACCAGAGAGTCAATTACACGCCAATGTAGTCTTAGAGTCCTGACACTAACTAAGAAAAAAAGAGCTTTGACCCTGGCAACCTTTTTCATGGTGAAAACGACCGTCAAGTAAACAGTTAGACAGCTAACAGGAGCCGAGGCAGAGAGCAAAATGAAAGATCTTCGAGAGAAATCTAAGATACACGCGATGAAATATCTCAACTGCGGAGCGAGTAACGAAATTTTAAGTTGCACAATTTTAAACCCCAGAGTCGATAGAGCGCCCATCAAAAGATTTCAGTGTCAATCGAAAGCACATCAAAAGACCTCAGAATCTATGGAGCGCTAAAGGAATAACATGATTTGAGACTCAACTTGGAGCACATCAAAAGGTTTCACTCTCTGGAAATAGATCCATTCGTTATTTATGTCACGAAAATCAGTATAACTTACTTGCTGTTTAGAAGCGGCGAAAAACATGGATTTAAACTGAAACAAAGAAGACATGTGAAAAAAAGTGAAATAGAAAACGACAAATTAAAAGAAAAGTTGCGTTCGTAGAATTGATACAGAGAAAGTGCAAATTCCAACGAACTTATGTCCCTTTTTAAGTCAAACAAAGTTATTCAAAAGCTCTGTGGATAAATTCTCTATAGTGAAGTCAAGTGATAATAGCAAATCTTTTTTATAATAAGTGAATACATTTACACAAAGTACCTTTTTGTGGGGTGGGGTCCCCGGAACAAAATCATAATCTTCATCAGCATCTACATCCATCGAGCTGTTATCAGGTTCCACTGGACGTCTCTTTGTCTTCTTTGGTCCAGTTTGATTTAACGAGTTCTCGTCAAGGCTGATGCAACTGTCACCCAGGGAAGGCTGATTGAGAATATACAGTTATTTTAACATTTCTTAGTGTTGGTAACATAACAAAATTAGGGCAGGTGATCTGTACATGGTTTCTGAAGGTTTCGCCTGCTTTATGGAGGTTTCGCCCCATTGCAAGTTCGCTCCCTACCATTGCTAAGACTAGTTCGCCCCATTTAAGATAGCTACTTTGTCCCCATCGTCATTTGGTACGAACTTGTCAAGGTGGAGGCCAACTAGTAAGAAGACGGCTTGCAATGGGGTGAAACCTCCAGAAACCAGTGAAATATGTCCCGTTCTTATTCAAGGATTTTCCATCTCATTTTGATACTCATGGCACTTTGTGAGGTTATCCCTAAAGAACACAACATGCTGGCCCTGCCTGAGTCAAACTGAAATGATCCATTTTACAGGTATTTACTCAATACATTCCTGTACGAAACAAACGTGGTTAATAATTTACGATTGTCTTACCATGTCCAAATTCTTCATAAATGATACATCTGGAAGGAACAAGAGGACAAACGTTACTACAGTATGATTTTGCTATACGTGCAATTGCACGTACATATGTTACGTGAGTCATCCTCACAGACTGTCCACAGCAATTGCACCATTTTACACAAGAGGCGATACAAAGTAATGATGAGCACTGGGTATCCCCTGACAAGCAGAATTCGTCATCCTATCACATCCGAGCCGAGGATGCACGCACCTCAGACATAAGACCTGGGGTGTGGCAAGGGGTTTCTAGGACCCCTTTTTTGACGAAAAAAGATAATTAAGATAAGATAATTCCCAGTTGTGACACAGCCTGACATGCCCAAACTGCCAGTAAGAAGTTAGTGGTAAGTTTGCCAAAAAACCCAACTAATTCCTTCTTGCAGTGGCTTCAAAGTAGGTAAATATTGAGTAGGGTAACCGAGAGTATATAGAAGGCTTATCCTTTTAATAAATTGTAAAAGCATTTGGGTATAGGCTCTAAAAGGACCCTAAAATTGCTATTTAATATTGACAATTACAGGCTCTATTCAAATAATAAAAAATTAACCACTTTTTGCCATACCTGTGACCGTACTAGGCGGTGTTTGTATGGGTTGGGCACTGCCACGCCTACACATGAGTTAAGGAAGAGCACACATGAGGGTTTTATTGAGGAAAGCAAGGATAGAAAGTCTCACAGTAGTTTCTAAAATGGTTGATGACCATCATAATGAACACAAACATTACAGACACCTTTTTGTTATTTCTAAGCTTGAGTGAGAACATTCAAAGGATACACAGAAGTGTTTGCACTTTCCTGACTAGCCTCAGGGATGACTGAAAGATCTTTCTTCCTCGCTGTAAACACATCTACAACAAAAATAAAAATAAACTTAAAAGAAAACTTGATTGAAATAAATACACCATTGAGAGCATGGTCTTGACCTCATCATCATCTTTGCCTGCTGTGGCAAATGTTTATTTCAAGTTGAAGGATTTGATATCAGTTCAGAGCAAATTTTCTGCAACTCAGAAAGAACAAATGATCATATCTTGACATGGCTCCTTAGGTTGGTCTATGATAATTAAAAAATAGAAATATATATATTTTGCTTTTTAAATTGGATTTCAATTCAAAATGACTTCAAGCTAGTTGTAATATTTTCCCCCATTCCAAGTGCATTATCATAGTCCTTAAACAAAAGAAATCACAAATCAAACAACTAATAGGTTGAATTTGTTTTGAACAAAATTGGACAATACAGAAATTGAACAGGAATTATTTAGACTACAACAGATATGTAGCTCATGATTTTAATTTTTCAAAAGGTAGATAACTCTATTCACCATGGCCAGTTCAATCCCTTCCTGGTAGACAGCATGATATATTTTGCAGAACTGTGTCCATTACAGAGGAGTGAATACATGTATCACTATCTGAGTTTTTTTTTTACCTTGATAAGGAAATGAGTCACTAAAGAATTCATCCAGAACTGATTTATTGGCATCTTTACCTCTGTGATTACAAATTGAAAAATTAAGAAACTTTAAGATCATTCACTGAAAATCTACAGCTTAAAATGAATTTGTGAGGCACAACTATTGAAATTAAAATCATCATTCGTCTACTACTAAAGAGAACCAAGGGTTCTTCACACATACTTACAAATACAGTCATATGATAAAGTCATAATACACACAATATTCACACAGTATGACAATCAAGTACCTTTGGCTTGTCTCCTCTGCAGTATTCCCAGAATTGCTCTGACTTTTCTTATTATTAGTTTTCCCTTCACTATTTTGAGATGGCCCTGGAGTTTTCTCTTTGAGCAAGACTTTATCAACCTCTGTCATGTCCATATCACCATCATTATTTTCTTCATCAAACATGGAGTCATTTTGTTCGGTGTCATTGTAATGATTGTTAGTCTGGGAGTTCTGTGCAGTCTTGATATGTGAACTGGCACCCACTTTCTGTTTAACTTGGTCAGGGTTTGTTGTTGGATCTGTCTTTGTAGAGCTAATCAGCACAATCCAAAAAAAAAATTCAACCTTTACAAATAAATTTTTTGATCACTATTGAACAAGGCTAGCCTTCAAAGATGAGAGTGAAAATGTTTAATCTTAAAATTTTGTTTAAACTTACTCAATTCTTGACATAACCTGCACAGAATGAGTGGTTTGTCAGATCTTATGAGTGACTATGTATTTTATTTTAACTTTCTCACCATTTGACATTCCTGTCTTTTGGAACTTTTTTAGCAGATGTGCTGGGTGCTGCTGTGACAGATGCTTGAGATGACTGGGTGGAAGACTGGTGATCAATTAAAGTTGCCAGCACAAAGTCAGCTTCATAAGTTGAGTCTCCATCCATACTGAACACTATGGGTCTGAAGAAAATTTCATGTCAATGATAACTCCTTATAATCTGCAGCTCAGGGAATACTCTGACTTTTCAAAGTTGAGGGTTAGGCAAGAAGTCCTTTTGGGTTGGAAGAATACAATCTAGTGAAAAGTTTTTCAGTACAAAATGCAATAGTGACTCTCTGGTGTGAAAAGTGTAACTTATTGCTTCTTTGTATTTTTATTGTATTTTATGCAGGAAAACAGATTTCTGGGTTATACACTTGGACCCAAATTAATAATTTTTCCTGTTTGATTTTTAAGTAGCACTCTTCTTTCTCCCTCAACTGTTCATAATCTGCTTTTATAGTAGGTGTAGATATTTGGTGATATACTAACCTTCCACTGGTTTCAAAATGCATATTTATTGGTTGACTTGAGAACTCAGCAAATGTTAAAATAGCCTGCAATACAGAAAGGTAAAAATGCTGGCTATGAAAATTGACATCAATGATAAGCAGATTTGATCAACTACATATTCTCAGAGAACTTTTCACCTTTTTCATTGTGAAGATAGCAGTGTTAATTCTTGTCTAAATAAATCTAATCAAAATTAATTTTAGCTTCTGTCATTAAATTTTTATGGTTAGTTGTATACTTACCCTTAGCTCCTTGAGACAAAATGTAACCTCTGTATCAACTCCAATTTGATAGTTATCAAACTCTTCTGGAGCTAGCATCATTTCTGTGTGAATGACTCGATTTGGTTCTATAAGAAAAGAGGACACATTTAGCACTATACCACAATAGTGACAATGATTGTAAGCCTCCAAAATAGAAGCCAAGAAATAATTGATATTTTTAACACATGCTAGAGTGAAATTCTAGGATTCACAGTGGATACATGTTTCCATGCATATGTACAGTGGACTCTCGTTCTGCAGACACCTTGCTATTATGGTTATGGATGCCCTGCCATTGTAGAAAATAGCCAGCCCCCTGGCAAAACCCATAAAGAAATGATTGCAATAAACTCCTATTATTATGGATGCTCACTAATACACCCTACCACAATG